ATTTGATTTATCACAGTTATAATAGATATTCTTCTAATTATTATTATTCTTTTTATTATTATAATAACTTTTTATTTAATCTAGTTCTATTAATATTAAGTCATTATTCTAATAACTTTTATATTGTTTTTATAAGTAATAATAATTATTATTATTATAAACTCTCAAATTTAAGTAATTCTTGAGAATAAGTAATTCTTTCTCCTTTAAGTTCAAAAATCTTAAAAAAAGTTAAATAAATAATTTCTTTATCAAAACTATTATATAATAGATTAATACAAAATTTACAGTATGAAAATTTGGATTTGGGAGGACAAAGGTATTTGAAATTTTTTATATTTATTAATTTAATTTGCATAATATTACAATATATAATTCAATATTATACATAAGAATTCTTAAATTTAAGCAATTTTCATAAAAATTGATTAAAAAATAATAATGTAGAGAATTTCTTAAATTTGAGAGTTTACAGTATATCTACTTGAAAAATCTATTGATCTGTCTTATTTATATATTACTATATTATAGCAAATGGCTAATTTTTAAGCTTTTTCTAATATTTTTGATATCTGATAACTGATTTCTATCTTTATAATAGATTTTAAATCTTTTATAAAATAGATAACTTGATTTAAATCATTTATATCTGTAACTTAGCTAACTATATTTTTGAATTTTATATTATAATCTTATACTAGATCAGTTTTAATAAAGAAGATAAAATTATTTATAAAAATATTATTAATAATAAAATAACTAAAAGGCTTCTCTAAGTATTATAATAAAGATTTTCTAACTTTCAAAAAAAGTAGTATTATTATTAATCTTATATTTATTAAGATATCAGTATAATATTATATTAGTTAAGAAAATGATAGTATATTATACTTGTGTCTTTTTATTTATAATTTCTTGAATCAGAAATACAGTTTTAATTTGTATTATCCAAATTAAAGATGATTTCTTAACTATTATAACATGATAATAAATAAGTATTATTTAGTTACAACTAGTTATAACTTATAAAATTTTGAAATTATAATATATTATAACAGATGATAAATAAATATTATATACTTACTGTATTATCTTTAATTCAGATAAATATATTTTTATTTAATTCTTCAAAATATATAGATAGTTTTACTAAAAGATGAGATGAAGATTTAAAACTAGAGAATCTATCTTTTTTTATTATTTTAATTAGCTTAGTTATGTTCTGTATAAATTATTCAAATTATTTTATATTTATTTTGATAAGATATTATTTTATTAAACTAAAATATATATAGGTATGTATAGTATATGATGTGTAAAATATAAGATATTAAAGAATAATCTTTATAATAATCATATCTACTATTATCAAGTTATAAGATTATTTTGTAATAGTTATAAATAAGATAAAATATGATATAAATAGTTTTAATTTTTATAACTTATAATTATTTTTATTATTTAAAAATATTTAGATTTAAGATAAAAATATTAACAGATAGATTATATTTATAAGAAAGAAATGAATATAAAATATAAATAAATTAATAAGAAATTTTAATTTAAATTATATATAAATTTAACAAAATTAATTAACTTAATTTATATTTCTAGAAAATAATTAATCATAATTCAATAAATAATAATATAATAAATTAAATATAATTAATAATAAATAAAAAACAAATTAAATAATAAGAAAATATTAATAATATATATAATTAAAAATATTAATAATCTAAATTAATAATTATAATATACATAATAATTATCTGCATGATAATATATTAAATCTAATATATTAAATATAGTGTGATTTAAATTATTTAAAAAATGATTGTTATTAATTATCACACATGAAATAATTAAAATTAGAATAAAATATATTACAAAAAATAAATGAATAAGAGAATAGATATCCAGTAAACTTCTTACAGATTCTTAATCCTTTAATTCTTCTTTTTGTAATAAGTTTCTAAATTGAAATAACTGTTATTATCTTTTATAACCAATGATAAATAATCTTATCTTATTGAAATTAAGATATATATTCTGCCAAAAAAATATATGCAATAATAAAAATATTAATATTAACTATTTATTATAATTTAAAAAAGCTTAGAAAAACTGAAAAAGTAATATAATTAAAAGAAATAGGTTATTTAAAGGTAATTTTGTGAGAAATATCACAAAAAATCAGATGATAAATCTAAAAAAATCCTTTTATATCAATAAGAAGTTTGATAACAGAATTAGATAAAACAGTATCTCAACTAATTATTTTAAGATATTTATAGAATTATAATTATAAAAATGATATTTCAAAAGTATTGTCAATATTTATCTTATAATATAAAGAAAAATAGATAAAGTAAGTCAAAAAATATATGAATAACAATTAGAATAAAACTTTTTTTACAGATAAAACTATATTCTAACTCTTTTATAATACAATTAGTTAGTAATATAAGAATTCAAGATCAGTTTATTGAATTTCTAAAAATAGAAGAAAAATCTTTGCATAAGATGAATTTTGTAAAGCAGATAAAGTTGATTTATTTTATTTTAGAAGAATAATGAATACCAAATTTTATGTAGATATTTTAAAAAATAATATTACAGATATTAATATTCTTCTAAAAAGAAAATGAAATTTTAATAGGATAATAATTCAAAATATATAAGTCAACTTGCAAAGTCTTATCTCAAATTAAATATTCTCAAAGTTATTAATTAGTTATCTTATAATCTAAACTTAAATCTAATTGAAAATCTATGAAATATAGTTAAAAGAAATATAAAAAAAAAAATCAAAAAATTTGAACTAATTAGAATTATTTATGAAGAAGAAATAAAATTTAATTTCAAATAATATATTAAAGAGTTTAATAAAATTGATAAAATAAAGATATATGCTAGTAATAGAGAATAAAGATAATATTATTGATTATTAATTTATTTTTTTAATAAAATACATATTTTTATCTTTCAAATAAATATATTTTTATTATAATTGATTTGATAATTGCAGAGTAATAATAGATTTATTTTTTTAAATAATTTTGAATCATATTATAAATGATTATTTATATATTTAGAGTAAAATTAATCTTTATAAAATATAATACAGAAGCTAATCTATTATACAGATAACATAAAATAAAGATCTGAGCTAAAAAAAGATAATCTAATCAAAAATTATTATATATAATTAGTAAAAAATTTAAATATTATATTACTTTTGATAATCACTATATATAAAAGATAATTAATTAAAAAATATAATAATAAAAAATAATTAATTAAAGAATATAATAATAATAAAAATAATTAATATTATCTTAAATATAATAAATTAAATAAATAAGTATTATAAATAATTAAAAATAAAAATAATTTATATATTATATTAATAAAAGATAAGAATTATAAAAAAACTTAAGAAATTAAAAAAAGATAAAAATAATAAAAAATATAATATAAATAATATAATTAAAATTATAAGATTTAATAAATAAATTAATATAATATATAATAAAAATTTTAATAAGAAATTATTTTATAATTAAATTTAAAAATTAAATTTAGTTTATAATTATGAAATTAAAATATAAACTAAATTATTTATAATATTAAGTTATTTAAAAACTTATTAGTATTAATATTATATTAAAATATAAATAAAATAAAAATTAAAAAGATAATTATAAAATAAATTATTAAAATTATAATAAAAATATGGATTAATGCAAAAAAATTGTATTTTAATATAAAATTAATAATTACTTCTAATAAAAATCATTTAAATTTTAATTAATCTTTAATTTAAATTATTTTTTATTTAATATAAAAAAATTATAAACTTTTTTTATTATTTTAATTATTCTATTATATTTTAATTTAATAATAAATAAAGTATTATTTACTAAAAAAAATTTGTAATATTAAAATGTCAAATTATTTAAGTAGATTATTCTAAATTTGATAAATATATATTTTAAATTTCATAAAAATTAAATTAGTAATTATAAAGTTATTAAGATTTAAAGTTAAGTAATTAAATTATTACTAGTAAAATTTAAGAAATAATAATTGAAAAAAGTTATTATTAGTAAAATTTTTTTTATAAAAAATATATAATAAATAAATCTCAATATCTAATAATTTAATTAGATAAGACAGAATTAAAATTTTATTTTGAAAAAATAATCTATTAATATTTATCTGAGATACAAATCTTTTTTATTTTGAATAAAAAAATATAAAAAAAGATATACAGTTACATCTCTCTAAGTACATCCTCCTTGAGATCATAATAAAAAAAATAAAAAGTATATATTTAGAGAGGGTGTGCATTTATAGAGATCAAATATATAGAGCTCTTATAAGCTGGAAACAGAATATATCATGCATTTAGAAAGGAGTTATATAGTGCGTGCACTTAGGAAGGGTGCACTTAGAGAGGTGTAACTGTATATTAAAATTAAACTATAAAGTCAATAAATCTAATAATATTTTATATATAGAAAAGATTAACAAAATCTTTTCAAATAGTAATTAATATATAATTATTAGTTTTATTTACTAGATTTCTAAGCGTAAAAATAGTTGTAAATAGGGCAGGGAAGTGTAACGGTAAGTCTATAAACAATTACATGTATTCGTGCAACATAATTATGGAAAAAAAACCGCATTTCCGATGGGAATAACGATAAGCTTATTTTTCGGCGTACATGTACTACATGTACATGTAGATCACTCTTCAAATTCTACAACAAGGAAAGTTACTGTGCTATCGCTATTATTTTTTCCCATTCACACAGATCATTCATATTTATGGTTAATGCATCGTGTATGTATGCTATTGGCTATTTAACGTCATTCACACACATACTTAATTTATGTATTTGATTGATAACGCACATAAATCCTTAAATCCTTAAAGTGATGAAAATATCGATACTCGTTTTTTGCAAACAATATTCTTAAAATCATAAAAAATGGAGCAAGAAACAACCAAAGAAACGACCACGGAGGAAAAAAATTTAGAAAGTCTGCCGCAGGAAACAATCACCGCCAATACTACCGACATAAAAAAAGATAACAATAACAGTAGTGATAGTGATAATAATAGCGAAGATAATAACAATCCTCCGAGTATTTTTAGAAGTTATATTGAAGTACCTGATAATGTTGGAATTTCAATGATATTACCTGAAGAAAGCAATATAAGTACTAATAATAATAACATAAAGGAATTTGACATTAACATAAAAACACCAAATGCAGATTCATTGATTGGAGAACAAGCAATTGACGACAACGAATCTAATAATAACAAGGACGACAATCCGATATCTCTCTCTTTCAGTTCGGATGATAATAATGAGATTCCCGCTAACGATGAAAAATCAACGGTAACTAATCAAATAGATCCTTCGATATTGGAGACTTCCTCGCTTATTCCAAATGTCAACAATATCAACAATATCAACAATAAACATGATCTTGAAATATTCGATTCTGTCGTATTAAGCACCAACACCCAACAACCATCACAAACCGACGAAAATTTCAAAGATTCAGATAAAAAAGTCGAGTCTTCTAGTGAAAATTTGATTGATTTTTCTTCAGAAATTAATAACTACAACGACGACGAAAAGAATCAACAAGATAATATTCTTCCAGAAATTAATAGCTACAACAATAGCGAAAAGAATCAACAAGATAGTTTTTTTCCAGAAATCAACAGTGACGGCAAGAATCATGAAGATGATAATTATGATAGTGGTGTTGATAATAAACAGCCGATAGTTCAGAATTCCTCCATCTTGAACGAAACATCGTGGGTTCAAGATGAATTAGCAATTACTTTAGATGACACGAACCAGATTTCACCGAGAGGTGATGCTCACGATATCAAAGATTCGTCTTCGAATTCCATAGGAGAAATCATTCAAAATAATGATGAGGAATTTTTCAAATCAACTAAACCACATGTTATATTTTCCTCAGCTCCAATCTCTGAAATTCCATCCGACAAAGTGACCAAAGAAAAAGAAGAAACTACTCAGATTCAATCTCCTATCGAGTCTATTACGACCAATGGCTCTATTATCGAGCCTAGCGCTCCTATTACTAAAAAGCGCCAAACTCCTAAAGAAAACCACAACGAAGAGATAGAGCTGATTGACAATGGAGTGCTTGATATTCCTCAAACCTCACCGCAAAATAATAGAAAACAAGCCTTGAACTTGATTTTTATTTCGTCGTTGGTAGTGGCGGTTATTGCTGTTGTATTGGTTTGGCAAGGGAAATTTGAGCAGGTAGAGATAATTAGTTTATGCCAACATTTCATGTGCACATATGTCGTTTTTATCTAATCAATTTCTTATTCACGAATTCTAGGAAATTTCTCTCGAGGTAAATTACTGATTTAATTTCAAGTTTAAGATAAATTATTTATTACGCTCTCTTATAGATGAGAACTCGACCAATTTTCAAAGAATTCGCAAATTTAACCTCTCATCTATCGATTAACCTTGGAAATGCCGCAATACCAGGTCAGTTTTGTACTCTGCTCTTAGCGTAATAAAAACAAGTATTAACAGATTTTATTCGTTCATTAGCTTCTGGTCCAATACTAGATCTTCGTTCATCGTGTCACACACTTCGCGACACTTTCAAAAAGAACAAAAAGTTAGATAACTATGATTATCTTGTTTCTTATCTTGATGATCTAGGCGAAAGCTCATTTCTCACCGGAGATGAAATTTCACGATTACATGTCCATGGAGATTCTTTCCTCGCAGGCATTCAACAAAGTCTTGCTGACTTAGAAGAGTATATTCCCATCGACGTCCCATTATCATGCGGTGAACCTATTAATTCACTTTCCGCTCAACTAAAATCAATAATCTGGGAATTTAGCTCATTTGAAACTCGTCTACGTGGCGCGCTCAAAGCTACCAAAACTGCGTTGAACAAATATAAGCGTAATCTACCACGAAATGATCCCGATCAAGATACAACTATCGACCAAGTAAAAGAGTATATTGAAGAGTTAGGAAAGATCACGAATAATCTAAATATAAAAAATCGTGACGAGTATGTGGACAAAATTCGAAACGAGATGATAAGCTTAGAGAAATTTGTTGAATCTGTTGAGGATTTGATTAAAGAAGTGGAACTTATCAGACACAAAGTTATGGAAGATAAAAGAATACTTAGATATATGTGTGAATATTATGTTGGTGATGAACAAGATAAAGAAGCGTTGCAGAAAGCACGAGAACAAGTAGTTGTTGTTCATGAACAGTTCAAGGAGAAACAGCATGCGAGAAAAGTAGTTATCCCAGCCGTTTTCCCTCCAGAAGAGGAGAAATCTCGATTTAAATTTTGGGGGTTAAGGTAATATATTTCGTATAACGAATATATACCATATGTATTCAGATATTTTTTGAATAGTAAACGTTTTTTAGTGCATAAGATGGATATTTTTGGCGAAGTCAGCAAAGGATGTCATTGTGTAACAAATTTATAGTGATTTAATAAAAGATTTAATCTTTTGAAAAAAAGGCCACGTTCCATTTCTTTATATGCTTGTCACGCGTGTATATACGCACGTTCACACGCTGGTCACAGAATTTTCTATACTCATTATTCGCACTTTGAAATTTTAGTTCTCAAAAAATGAAAACTAGCAGAGAGAGTGGTTCGGTAGTTCCAATGGAAGAAGTCATGGAAGAAGTCATGGAAGAAGTTATGGAAGAGGTGAGCGATGCAAGCATAGGTTATTCAAAAATGGAGGCTGTTCCTGCAAATTACGGACAGGAAGAGGTAACTTATGAAAAGAAAGAAGAAGGCGGGTTAAACTTAGGAAACATGAATTCCCTAGCGATCTATTCCTATTATTACTATCTAATTATTTCACAAGATACGAGCTGCTGCACGAGAACAAAAAAAAAGAGTAAACCAAAGTCAAAAAATAGAACAATTAAAAAAAGCAAACCAAAGTCAAAAAAAACAACGATGAAAAAAAGCAAACCAAAGTCAAAAAAAACCACGACGAAAAAAAGCAAACCAAAATCGAAAAAAAGACCAGGAAGACCCAAAAAAACATTATGTTAACATAAATATATTAGGGGACAGACATATATCAAAAATCTTACCTTCCACATGATCAAAATAATTAGCCAATCAAATATAATAAAAATCTCATGTCCTAATTGCAAATACATGTATTATAAAGTCGATATTTATAAGAAAATATACATGTATATACGCTATTATAACTACTTATTCATACTAATTACATGTATTTTTCATTTTTCTAACACTAAGCATTATTTTACACGTATGAAAATATTGAATGATATGGACAGAATAAATATTAAACGTCATTTAGTTGTGTAATTTCAATAAAATATACATTAAGAATATTGTCAAAGAGTTGGCTTTTTAAGAGTTTGATTTGAAAACTTGGAAACTAGATATATATCATCCTGAAAAAAGTATTTTTGCGTTAAATTAAAGATAATAACGTTTTTAATATATATTTTTTTGAATTTAATTTTATTTTACAATAAAAATAAAAATTTTATTATAGAAAAATTTCAATTTTTATTATATTTTATTATGAAGTTTTTTTAAAAAAAAAACTTGGAAATGATAGCTTATTTATACATTTATATCATATTTTCATTTATAAAAAATTTAATTTTTGAATATATAGACTTTTATTTTAATATTGATTTTATTATTCTAAGTAATATTAAGTCTTTACTAAAAGTATTTTTTGAATTAAACTATTAATTTAATAAAAATCTGACAAAAATTAATATAAATAACTTTTATAATTATAAGATCAGAAAATTAATTTATTAATAAATAGAATAAAATTAATTTTCTAAAGCTTATATAATTTATTAAGAAATAATTTTTTATATTAAAATAAATTTATAATTTATAATTTAATACCATAACTCTTTATTAATATAATATAGTAGAAATTGAAATTTTTTTAAATTAAATAAATTTATTAAGAAATAATTCTTTATATAAAAATAAAGTTTATAAGTTATAATATAGTTATTTTCTGAAATTTTAATTTTTTTTGAAAATATTATTCTAATTACAAAAATTTTCTAATAGATTTTAATTTTAATTAAAAAAAATAACTTAAAAATTAAAATAATTCTTTCAAAAAATTTATATCATATAATAAAAATTTATTAAATTTTTTCAAAAAATTTTATTAAACTTTTATAATTTAATAAATAAATTTACTTAAAAATAATATATTATTTAAATTTATTTTTTATCAAATTTATAAAAAATATTATTAAATTTTCATTAAATATTTTGTTTAATATTAAAAAATATATAATAACTTTTATAATTATAAAATTAAAAAACTAATTTATTAATAAAATATAATAAAAATTGAAATTTTTTCTTTATATTAAACTATATAATTTTATTGAAAAATATTTTTTATATCAAAATAAAGTTTATAAATTATAGTTTAATATATATTTTTTTCAGATTTTTTAAATTTTTTCTAAAGAATTATTTTAATTATAAAGTTAGTATTATTTTATTAATAAAATTAATTTTTTAAAAATTATTATATATATTATAAATTATAAATAAATAATTTCTATTTTTTTATATTTTATTAAAAATTATATTTAATGTCAATAATAATTCAAATATTTATATAATTAAATTATTAAAAAATTTTTAAAAAGTAAAAATTAGCAAATTATTTAATTATTTAAGAAAAAATTTTATTAATATTATAAAATAATTATTAAAATTAATATATTAATAAAATATAAATTTTTCTTTATATTAAAATAAAGTTTAAAAAATTTTTATGATAATTTTTAATTTAGAATATTTAATAAAAATATACTAAATTATAAATAATAAATTTTATTTTATAAAATTTAATATAAAGTAAAAATTATTTTATTAATAAATTAGTCTTTTAATATAATAATTAATAAATTAGAAATTAATATTTATTAATAAAATCTAATAAAATTATATATATATATATATTATATTATTATATTAAAATAAGCTCTTATAATATATTTTTTAATTTTTTTAAGAGTTTTTTAATTATAATTTATTATAAAAATTTGTTAATTAAAAATTAATTTAATTAAAAAAATTTATAAAATATTAAAATTTTAATAATATTAAAAAATAAAAAAATAAAACTAATAATAATATATTAATTAATATTAAAGAATATAATTTATTAAAAAAATATAAAAATAAATAAAAAAGATATAATTAAAATTAATTTTTTTAAAAATATAAAAATTTAAATAAAAATATTATTAATATATATATAATATTAAAAAAACATAATAATTAAGAAAATTTAATAATAAAAATCTAAATATTATATTTATAATAAATTGAATTATAATATAAAAATAAATAATAATAATTATATAAATAATTATAAAAAAATAAATAATTAAAATTAAAAATTTATAATAATTTATAAATAAAAGAAAATTATAATTAATAATAATATTTTTAATAAGATAATAAATAAGTATTATATAATTATAATTAATAAATTTTGGATTATAACTAGTTATAACTTAATAAAAAATTAATAATAAATAAATATTATATATAGTATATTACAAAAAAAACTAAATATTTTTAATTTAATTATATTTAATAAATATTTATTTAAATTATATAAAATTTTAAATATATATGCTTGATAATCTAGAAAATAAATATATTTCTTATATTATATTTTTTATTAAAATTTTTTATTAAAAAAAAATAATTATAAAAAATTTAAAATATTTTTTTAATATTTTTATTTATTATTTAATAAATATATAATTTAAATTATATAAAATTTTAAATATATATAATTAATAATTTAATAAATCAATTTATTTTAGATTAATTTGTAAAATAATAATTAAATTTAATTATAATAATTTTTTAATTATGAAAAATTTTTAATTTTAAAAATATAAATTATAAAAAATTTAATAATATAAGTATTTAAATAGTTTTAAGTTATTTCAAGTATATATATTTAAATTTTATATTATTAAAATAAATATTTATAAAAAAATTAATTTTTTTGTAATATATATATTTTTTAAATTTTTTTAATAAATTTAACTATAATATTACTTAAAATTTTTATTTTTAAATAATATAATATATAAATATATTATATTTTAAAAAATAAAATTTGAATATATTATAAATCTATAAGATTAAAATTTATTTTTTAATAATTAAAAATTTTAATATATTATTATTTATAAATTTATTTTTGTATTAAATAAAATTTATAATTTATATATATTTTTAGATTTTTAAATTTTTAAAAACTTATAAATTAAATTTTTATAAAAATATATATTATATTATAAATATATTTAAATATTATATATCTTTAAATATAAATAATCTTCAAATATAAATAATTATTTCTTTTAAGATTTGAGATTCTAAGAATATTATATATAAATTTATACTTAAATATAAGTAATACTTTCTCTTTGCCTGATTAAAATCTTATATTTTTTAATTACTTATATTTAAAGATATATAATAATATAAACTTAATATAAAAAATTTAATTTTATTATAAAATTAATTTTATAATTATAAAAATTATTATATTAATTAAAATAATAAATTTTTAATTATTCAAAAAAATATTATTAATAATTTAATCTTATTTTAATATTTTTTAAATATATAAATAATTTTAAATATTAATATAAATTATAAAATTATTTTTAATTAATATTATATTATATTAATTTTATATAATATTAATAATTAATTATTATTTTATTATTATAATCTTTATATATATTATAATTTAATAATATATTTATATT